GATGCAGACATCGTGTGTGGTTTTATTAAAATTTGGCTAAACTCTAAAGCAAAACCACTTTTGCTGATAAAATTTCAAAGTTCCCCACAAAAATTGGACTATAAAAAAGGAAAACAAAAAAAAGAAATTATCTAAATTTGAATATTTCCTAAAACGGCTAAAGTTCCGTGAAAAAAAAAAATAAATAAATTCCCCTTCGTTATACCTTTGCACTTTTTTTGTGACAAGAAAATGTATTATATAAATCAAAATTCCTCGATACCGTACCGTAAATATCGAACGTATAAAAAACGTCAAATCTCATTGTTGAAACGACGGATTTTAAGTTGTTTTCCAAATTCAATACAAGTATTTATTTTGATTGTAAGTAATGATTATATGGAACAATTTCAAAAAAATAATAATAATAAATAAATATAACAAAAAACTCTGAGACCAATCAGGATAACATGAAATGTGTTATTTTTTTAATATTGAATGTTGTGGAAAAATATAAAAAAGAAGAACATGTAATGTAATTGGAATATTTTGAATAAAATGCAGATGTTCATCCATCAGTACGACATATACTGGTATAATGGTACAATAGTCACGTAATTTCCGAGAACTGACACTTCGTGAATTGTCAAAAAAAAAAAAAACAACTTAAAAGGTCAATGACCGGTAAAGAAGGCACCTAACGCTGAGGACCTAACTCTTCATAATCTCCACCACGTAGCGAGTATTCAAAATTTGGGTCGGAACTCTTATATGGAGATTATGAGATTGCTAATTGTATGCTAGTAGGTTGTCTATGGTCTGAGATAATAAAATATCCAAAAACTCCGTTTGGAAACCGAGGATAAGAACATCAAAACGCCAAACCATTGAATCTATTTGAAGACATGGACCAATATTGAACATTTTCTAACAAATTGTATTTGCAGTAATCCGAAATGTCAAATTACAGACAATTCGATTGAAAAATGTGACTAAATGTTCGTATCGATCGAAGTATTGAAAACATGGATCACAATTGAAACATTTCAAAAAATATTCCCCAAAAATGGGACATACCACTTCGGTGGAATGTCTTTAATATAAAGAAACCAGTAAGGAAAGTAGTAAAGTCGGACGGGGCCGACTATAGGATACCCTTCACCACTTTGGTTATATTCAATAGATGAATCCTAACAGACGTCGCATTTTTTAAGGACCAGAAAAATGAAATTGGATCCATAAACATGTCATTCTCCAACCGATACTAAATTTTTCATTTGGTCAGATATAGAACCTATGACTAAATCTGAACCGATTTCAGGAAACCTAACACACATCATTCTAGCAAACCGAAAGATATTAAAGAACTTTGGTACACCATTTACCTTAAATCGGACGATAATATATATGGGAGCTATATCTAAATCTGAACTGATTTTCAGGAAAAATAACACACATCATTCTACACCTAATTCATTACGCTGTGCCAAATTTCGTGAAAATCGAGATATATAGGGACTTTGATGCACCATTTACATTAAATCGGACGAAAATATATATGGGAGCTATATCTAAATCTGGACCGATTTTCACGAAACTTGGCAGACATCATTCTAGACTCAATTCAGTATGTTATGCCAAATTTCGTGCAAATCGCAAGATATATAGGGACTTTGGGGCACCACTTACATGAAATCGGACGAAACTATATATGGGAGCTATATCTAAATCTGGACCTATTTTCTCGAAACTTCGCTGACATCACTCTAGGTTTAATTCAATACGTTATGCCAAATTTCGTGCAAATCGAGAGATATATAAAGACTTTAGGGACCATTTACATAAAATCGGACGAAACTATGTATGGGAGCTATATCTAAATCTGGACCGATTTTCATTCCAGACCTAAATGATTAGGCTATACCAAGTTTCGTCCAAATCGAGAGATATATAGGGACCGTTTACATTAAATCGGTTAAATATGTATATATATATATATGGGCAATATTGCCAATTTTTTAATATTCCATTTTCAAAAAATTAGCTTTTTTGTTTTTGTGGCACATCAATGATTTTTGGTACACATATAGAGAAAAATGTTCTGACTCCGAAACCGTTCGCGATCAAATTTTTGGTTGATGCGCGCAAAAGTTATCGAGGTTTTAATTTTGGGCATAAGAAAAAATCTTAAAAATACGCCGTTTATTACATTGACCAAAAACGTTGATATATATCTTCCTCCGTAAAATAAGAATATGAATATATTATAATAATCGCGAAAAAGTTGTACATCTTCGCGAAATATGAGAAAAATAATAAAAATATAGGAGATTATGTCAATATTTTCATTATATTAATGACATACACACACCTAAAAATTAATTTAAAAATATCTACATAATTTAAACACGGTGATGAATCAAATGATATCAAAATCACACAAGTCCGTGTAGCGGTTTGTAAATCACACCGACAACAAAACAAGATATTGACGAAAAATATTTGTTTTTGGTTCGAAAAAATAATGTCATCATATTTACATATTTTTTTAATTGTATACAAGAAATTTCAGAAAAAATTGTTGGGGTTATTCTGCTATTTTACCAGAATTTCGCCGAAAAATTGACATATATATTAATAATCACTTTTTGTGTGTAAGTATACGCCTTGCGGATTATATCAAGACCCTTCCGATAAATCTTAGAATTCTATAAATAGGAATAAATCTTAAAATAAAATAATATTATGAAATATACATTTTAAATTGCGTGTAAATCGCGTAATTCTCAAAATCATTTGATGCGCATGCGGTTTCAAGGAAGTACTGAAGTTTATCTTCCAATCCATATATATTTGGCGAAATTTCATTTGACGGCTATGATGTGCCGCACGTTACATTGAAGTACCCAAAAACCGTAAAACGCGAATAATTTCCGAAAACTCCATATGCCATTAACGCGCATCCGATTTCGGTGTGCACCCTAAAAAAATACATCGATCTATACCGATTTCAATGTAGTCCATTAAGAACCATGGATGTGCCAGCTCACACTATTTTTGAGATAAATTGCGTCTAAATCGCGTAATTCTCAAAATCATTTGATGCGCATGCGGTTTCCAGGAAGTACTGAAGTTTATCTTCCAATCCATATATATTTGGCGAAATTTCATTTGACGGCTAAGATGTGCCGCACGTTACATTGAAGTACCCAAAAAACCGTAAAACGCGAATAATTTCCGAAAACTCGATATGCCATTAACGCGCATCCGATTTCGGTGTGCACCCTAAAAAAATACATCGATCTATACCATTTCAATGTGGTCCATTAAGAACCATGGATGTGCCAGAACAATCTATTTTTGAGATAAATTGCGTACATCTCTCTTTCGGCTAAAGTTTTTAAAGTTCTCTTTTCGAAAAAGATCAAAATCCGTATGAGGTCATTTATTGAAGCGGAAATGATACACAGAAAACGCAAATAAATCCGCGATATTTTCAAACACATTTTTTGCCAAATTTCGTGTTTTTGGAAGGTCAGTTCCCGCCGTTCTAGTAGATGGATTTTCACGAAAAAGATTTTATATCATCCGAAACGTAAAAAACCTTATTGATCGCGGGTACCCATATCATTCAGTTGACAGATCTAAAAATTTGGCCCGAAAAATAGGTTTTTTAGAAATTTGATCGCACAAAATTCGCACCTTCGGATGAGTATTACTCTGAAGCTGTGCATACTACATACACAAAATACATATCAAATTACGCAGATTCGCGACTACAATAATCTTATAATCGATTTTTATAAATTCCTGTTGGCGTATTAAAGCTAGAAGTAAAATTAAAAAAACACTCAAAATCGAGCTTCAAAATGTCAGCATCATTTAAAGGTAGATGCAGTTAAAATTTTGAAAAATGATACAAAGGGGGTGTAGTCCCCATTTTGTTGGCTTCTAGTTTTATTTTGACACGAAGGCCGTGCAATGAGTGGCTTAGTCACAAATCGATAGAGAACATAAAAAAACTGGTTTGCCTCAACCTGTTTTTACACATTTTTTTACATTAAAGTAGACACAGCTTCCACCAAAATAAAGTTTGGAGGTCAATATCATGAACAGTTTGCAACGACAGATCAATTAACCCAAAACTATTCTCTTTTTTTCATATACTTAAGTAGTTCCCGAGTTATAAAGGGGTGAAACTCCGCTTCAGCTATGTTAAAAAATTGGCAATATTGCCCATATATATATATATATGGGAGCTATATCTAAATCTGAACCGATTTTTCCCTACCCATATGCCAAATTTCATCCAATTCGGATCATAAATGCGACCTGTAATTTGTTTACAATTTTACATGGACAGACAGACAGACGGACGGACGGACATGCATAAATCGACTTAGAAAGTGATTCTATGCATATTCTCAAAAGGAACCATGTGTCTATCTCGTTTCCTTTTGCCTGTTACAAACATATGCACAAAGACATAATACCCTGTACCGCAGTGTGGTGAAGGGTATAAAAATGGGTCCATCATATGTTCGAAGACCCCGAAATATTGAATTACAGCCACTTCGGCAGGAAAATACGGCAAATATATTTGAAATGTCAAAAATGTTATGGTTACCATTTCATATGTCTATACCCTCCGCTTTCTGCAAATAATGAAGAACATTTTTAGAACTGGTCAATAACATCTAAAACCGGTCCAATGCAAACCTCCTTCAAGTTCGAAAATAAACATTATTAGACTACCCTCATATGGAACCCCACTACCAAGTGATTACAATTTTGTAGGCTGGTAAATAACATATCAAGTTAATTGTCGGTAATGTTTCAACATTTCGGTTCACTACCTTTGCTTTAAAGGTCATCGTTTTTTAAAAGTGGTAAATCTGATTCAATCCAAATTGTTTCAAAAGTCCTAGAAGTCCGAATAAAATAAAATGTATCAAACACCCTTTATATAAATTATTAATTTTTATAATATTTTTCAAAATATCTATCTATTCCCCCTACAGATGTCATTGGTCATTGTTAAAACATCAGCCATCGCGATCTATTCAAATAAGTCATCACCAAACGTATTTCCAATCAACACAAACGGCAACAACAACAAACCACAATTAAGTGATTTATCACATTTTCAAGCAACAACCAGTGAATTCATTACCACTGTACCGCAAACATCGGCACTAAGCGCTACGAACTTCAACTACAATCGAGGAGGATCAGAGCATAAAGCCAATAACACCGTAACCAACCACATCATTCGGACGAATATAATTGTAGGAGGATCACGAGATTTTGAAGAGCCACACGATAAAATGCGTGCTAAATTGCAGCAATTATTGCAGCGTGAAAAATACGATGATGATGAGGAGAAAAGACAATTACAACAAGATCATCATCAGCAGCAACAACAACAGCAACAGCATTTAAGCGTGCAAGAAGAGCTACAACAACAACAATTTCAACATGCAATATCGGCTGGTGAAAATGCATATTTACTGGAGCGTATTGATGCTAATAGTGGTGGTGGCGCTGGTGGTGCTACCCATGAGCAACCCATTTATGGAACATGGAGCACGAAAGCGAAACGACCGCTGCCGCCAACAAAGACTGGTGCGGCCAATTCAACACCCGCTGCTACCTCATCGATGCAAACCCTAATTGGTGAAGTGGAGGAGCATTTCCATGAAAATCATAACTATGGACCGGCTCATCATTACGAACGTTTGCCTAGACGTTCATCGACCATGACACCTGTCAGAAGGGATCTACACGACCAAATACCGCGACCACCAAGGTTAACATCGCGCCAACCATCGTTAGCCAATCGAAGGCAATTCACCGATACACCACAACCGAATGGAAGGGATGAGGCACACACCCAACCAATACCATTCCATTTCCCCTACGATGGACCATTACCGGAGGAATTTAAGAAATCGAAACAAAGTGAGCGAACCAGTGTGGCGCCCTACGATGAGGTCAATAATATTCAGGATATTTTACAAAAGTTAACTCTGGGAGGTTTGGCCAGCACCAAAATGCCAGCACTGATGATGATGCCTTCGGGTTTGCATATTTCTGGTTCGTATAAAAACCTTAAATCCAGTGGTATTGCGAATTTCTTTCGCGGAAAACGCCACAAGAAACAAATTCAATTTCCACAACCCATGCCGATGTTCAATGGCTATCAGGCACCCATGATGGGATTTATGCCACAGGCGGCCTATCAGTCGCGCATAGCTTTGGAGCAAATCTATCCCTTTAAGCCGCGTTCGCCCAACGACATAAATCTCTTGGCCATGCAGCAGCAACAACAACAGCAGCTAAAAGCCCAGGCCCAAATAAAGAACAGCAAGAAGGCGAAGAAAAATAAAAAACCCAAAGACAAGGATAAGAAAAATCTCTTGGCTAGTTCAAATGTATTTATGCAACACTATCCATATGGCACAGGAGCTCCAGAAATGTTTTATCCCACCATGTATCCACCATTAATGGCGATAAATGTAACACAGGCACCACCTGCAATAGGAAAACGTGTACCCTTCAAGCTAAATTTGGATATTTTCCCTATTTTACCACCTTCTAGGAATCCAAAGGCCGTATCGACCTTAGCCATGGAAGAGGCACGTATAGTTTCAACGATGCGACCAGCTTCCATGCTGCGTAATCCTTTTATGGAATACTATTCCACACCGATAACACCAACCGTATCGTCCCTTGGTTTTTATAATCCATATGGGCAACAGAAACCCCATAACCACATACGTTTTCCCGGAGCCGTCCAAAGTGCTCAGAGCAATAATATGCAGTTTGCCTATAATGATCAATGGCAAAAATATATACAACAACAAAAACAGCAACAGCAGCATAATCACCATCAACAACAGCAGCAACAATCTCAACAACATATATATGCCAATTTGCAGAATGGTGGCCATGGTCATCAAACCCCATTCTTACCCATTGATTGTGACCCGTCAATGTTACCAGCAGGTGCGCCTTCGACCAATTCCCTTAGCAGTCCCATAATGTTGCACCTGAATGTCTTCCCCAAAAAGAAAGCAATACCATCGCCTTCCTCCCCGCTAACACCATCATCTACCAATCCTTTCTACAATAATGCCAACGCCAACAGCAACAACAACCTCAATTTACATCGTTCCACAATACACGAAGAAAATGAAGGTGAATCATTGAGTCACGCAATAGAGCCACGCCACCAACCCAAGTCACTGAACATTAGCTCCCAAACGTCGATAGAACGCAGTGATACCACCAACAGTGATCAACAACGTGATCTGGTTGATTTCGAACATCCAATTGTGGCGGCAAATGATATCTCCGAATTACCAACCCCGGCAGCATTGATGGGTGACAACAGTCAACACCAGTCGACTGAAACGTCATCATCCTTTCATGCGATATCGTTCTATGATCACAACAACAGCGCAAATAATACCAATGCTGCAGTTAGTGTGGCAAACAGCAACTACAACCACAACTCCAACACTTACACCAACAGCAATACTAACACAAACAACATGGAGCAAATGGTGTCAGAGGCTAAAACTGCTTCCCTATTTCGTTTTCCAGTTGAGGACCTGATACAGTTTCAGGTCCACGATGCTATGTAGTTGGGGAAAGAGGGCAAATTATATTTTATTTGTTACAAGTTTTAGTTATAGTTTATAATAATAATGATGATTAACCAAATATTAACTTATAGTTCCCATTAAATACTGTAGAATAATTGTTTGTATGTTTTTCGCCCATTTGGGGGACTAAATAAACAAACAATTATTCTGCAGTGTATATTTATAGATATAAGGTATCAAATGCTACATTTTTTCAAAATTTTATTTTTTCAGTTTTATTTATTTTTAATAAACGTTTCTATAATCAATACAAGATAATAAAAAACATTAAAACTTCATGTTATTTGTATTACCTTTTTGCAATGTTTTTTTTAGTTTTTTTTTTCTGGACATAGGTATACCGCCATTATACCGATGTGTCGTTATGAAGGGTAGATTTCGATGGTGTGTGAAATTTTTCGGTGAAAAATGTATATATTCGATCGTTGTTGTTGTTGTAGCAACAGAATACATGTAGTTTTCATTCGCCTGGTTCTGCTTTCTCTAGCTCCAAATTCAAGAATGCTGCAACTTCAGCGGGTTGCGTCCAAAGTGAATTCGGCGATAGATGAGTCGGCTTAGCTGGGAAGTTGAACAGGTACAACGTGTCGTGTGGTCCTGCGCACATGCAGGACATGTGTTAGGTATCGAACCGTCAATTCTTGCCCAATATGAATTGAGGCGGTTGCACCATCCTGATCTTAGTTGAGTTAAGACTACTCGTGTTTGCTTTGGCAGCTGCTTCTCTTTTGCTGCGATGGATGGGGGGTTGTCTCCAATTATGGTATTCACGCGATATTGCTCTACTGCCTGAGCGACTGCTTCCGTGTGAATACCATTCAGACCTGCTTGATAGGCTTCCTGATCTAGGGGTTCACGCTTGTACCTTTGGACCTCTCTCTCTAGATCATGAAGATATTTCTGCTTTCTCTATCTCCAAATTCAAGAATGCTGCAACTTCAGCGGGTTGCGTCCAAAGTGAATTCGGCGATAGATGAGTCAGCTTAGCTGGACAGTTGAACAGGTGCAACGTGTCGTGTGGTCTTAGCGCACATGCAGGACATGTGTTAGGTATCGAACCGTCAATTCTTGCCCAATATGAATTGAGGCGGTTGCACCATCCTGATCTTAGTTGAGTTAAGACTACTCATGTTTGCCTTGGCAGCTGCTTCTCTTCTGCTCCGATGGATGGGGGGTTGTCTCCAATTATGGTACTCACGCGATATTGCTCTACTGCCTGAGCGACTGCTTCCGTGTGAATACCATTCAGACCTGCTTGATAGGCTTCTTGATCTAGGGGTTCACGCTTGTACCTTTGGACCTCTCTCTCTAGATCATGAAGATATTTCTGCTCTCTCTACCTCCAAATTCAAGAATGCTGCAACTTCAGCGGGTTGCGTCCAAAGTGAATTCGGCGATAGATGAGTCAGCTTAGCTGGACACTTGAACAGGTGCAACGTGTCGTGTGGTCTTAGCGCACATGCAGGACATGTGTTAGGTATCGAACCGTCAATTCTTGCCCAATATGAATTGAGGCGGTTGCACCATCCTGATCTTAGTTGAGTTAAGACTACTCGTGTTTGCCTTGGCAGCTGCTTCTCTTCTGCTCCGATGGATGGGGGTTGTCTCCAATTAGGGTATTCACGCGATATTGCTCTACTGCCTGAGCGACTGCTTCCGTGTGAATACCATTCAGACGTGCTTGATAGGCTTCTTGATCTAGGGGTTCACGCTTGTACCTTTGGACCTCTCTCTCTTGCGACTTGAGGACCTTGTTCCAACTTCTCAGCTTATCGTATAAAGCAGTGGCTTGCGCGGACGACTTGAAAAGGCTGTCGAACGTTACTCCCAGTATCTTGGGGTAGTTGGTGGTCGAAATCAATTCCCCATCGACCATTATGTTCAGTAGGATCAGTCCGCAATATTCGATCGTTGCTACGACAAGCATGTGTGCCATCCCAATAGTGGTTTTAGACCCAATTTGGTGTCGATTTACAACTCTTGAAAAACTATTGCGATCTTACAAATCGCAATAGTTTTTCCAAAATTAAATCAAGTTCGAAGATAAGTAATATCAATTTACTTCTTCTGGTATTTCCCCAATAATTGGTCCAGAAGTTGCCGAAAATTCATATTTTATATTATTAACATTTTATATTATTATTAATTAATATTTAAATAAACGAAGTATCCGACCTATTGGCACAAACTAATATTTTTACTAAAACTAACATGGGTTTATCATTCCACTCCCTCTAGTATCTTCCAATATCAAGCGAATGAAGTATTCGTTTTAAACCATTGAAAGGGCATCGTAATTTTTTTTAAACCTAGGTCAAATCCAAAGATCCACTTCTTCTGGTATTTAACCCACGTGTAAATAACATATGAAGTGAATAGAAATTGATTTATATTTAAATGTACTCCGTACTATTTAAGATACTATCCCATATTCCCCTATTTGTAATCAGGCATTCCGTAAACGTTGTAGTATGGAATCCTCAGCTCTATTTTAGGTATTTTGTTAGTTGAAGGGCATTTTCCAACTTATGTGTGGCTGTAGTTTGACATTCCGGCATTTATGGTGATTAATCTGTCAATATAGGTCCTTATTTTCAAATGACCCCATATTTAGGTCCCGTCCCATTTTTGGTATGTTGTTCCTATCAGGGTCCCTACCGACCTTTTTATGTCCACCTCATAGGCCCTGCCGAGCTTATCAATATCTTCACTCTTTTTTATTATCATTTTTGTATTCATACAGATCGTTTGTGCGGAAATTGATATTGGTTGGGTCCATGTGGGCGTATTAGTAGCCTTTGAAACCAATTATAATCTGCAAGGGCAAATAGGTTTAAGCTAAGTTTAAATTTTTTTAATGGGGTCTGCTTGTGTAAGAAACGCGATGAGTTATATACACATCGTTAGAATAACCGACGCCGTTGTGAGGTTTGTATGGGCCTTTTACCAGGCCTATAAAACACATTTCATGTTATACCCTAAAAGTATGCAATACATAACAAATATTTACCATGTAACACATTATATTAAGCACACCATTCACAATAATCTGCTGGGAATCTCAAATAGGTTTGTGTATAGGCTTAATGTGAAATATAGCGCAAATAAACGAATATACATAAATTATCTAGATGGCGCTTTAATCAGGGTTCAGGAATCAACATATTTTGACAAATCACAGACTCAACTAAATGTATTATGAAAAAATAGTTAGTCTTTGTCATCAAATTGTACTAATGAAAAAAAATTTTAGGGTGGAGAAAAAAGACAACCATTTTTATTTCGGCAGATAGCTGTAATGATATCGTAAAGTATCGATTTAACAATTTCAGATTTATGCTTGTTGGAAGGGTGACATTTCGCAGTAAAAAACATGTTTACCTATTTTTTTTTGTGGGTTACAGGATGTTAAAAATGGAAATTAATAAAGGGGAAATTCTGTACATTTTACAGTTTTTCTTTGACAGAGGCGAAAATGCGAAATGGATTTGGCACCAAGCGATGATTATCTTTTTCTTGCATTGCAAAATTTCTTTACTGATAAACCAGTAAGGAAAGTGGTAAAGTCGGACTGGGCCGACTATATGATACCCTTCATCACTTTGGGCATATTGTACATATGTACCCTTACAATTGCATGTCAATTTTCCCTCGAAGGAACAAACTCATTACTTTCTGCAACCTATGCTCAATTTAATTTCATTAGGGCAGATTTAGAGTCGTCTGCGTACCATGGGACAAACTTGTGGAAAAAATGTATAGCAAAATTGATACACGATATTCAGTAACTCGCACGTTTAAAAATTTAATCTCAATCAGACCCCCGTTCGAAATACATATAGAAGCTATGGCTAAATCTGCGCCAATTTCAAAAAACGCAATAACATCATTCAAGTCTCAATTTGATAAGTTGTACAAAATTTCGTGTTAATCGGACAATCATTAGGAGTTTGGTGCACCATTTATGCAAAATGGGACGAAGCGATTTTTTCTCGAATCTTAACTATCATCTTTCTAGACTTAATACAGTACGCTATGCACAATTTCGTGCAAATCGAAAGTTATATAAGGACACCATTTATATAAAATCGGACGAAAAATATATATGGGTGCTATATCTAATTTGAACCGATTTTCACGAAATTCTGCAAACATCGTTCCAGGTTTAATTCTGTACGTTATGCCAAATTTCGTGGAAATCTATGAATATACAGGGACGTTGGTACACCATTTACCTAAAATCGGACGAAAATATATATGGGAACCAGCAACGTACACAGGATTTCATTTCGGGGGGGCCCAGTAGCACAAAATAAAAAAATTCGCTGTTGCAAACATATATTTACTGTGAAAAAAAATTCATTTCGGGGGGGGGACCCGGGCCTCCAGGGTCGCCCCCTGCGTACGTCCCTGATGGGAGCTATATCTAAATCTGAACTGATTTTCACGAAATTTGACACACATCGTTCGAGACTCAATTCAGTACGTTATGCCAAATTTCGTGGAAATCGATGGATATACAGGGACTTTGGTGCACCATTTACATAAAATCGGACGAAAATATATGTGGGAGCTATATCTAAATCTAAACCGATTTTCACGAAATTTAACACACATCTTTCTGGACTCAATTCAATACGCTATACCAAATTTCGTGCAAATCGAAGGATATATAGGGACTTTGGTGCACCATTTATCTAAAATTGGACGAAAATATATGTGGGAGCTATATCTAAATCTGAACCGATTTTTCCCAATTTTCCAATTTCCCAATAGGGTTCGTCCTTGGGCCAAACAAGGGAGCTGTGCCAAATTTCATCCAATTCGAATTAAAAACGCGACCTGTACTTTGTCTACAATTTAACATGGACAGACGGACGGACATGTATAAGTGTACTTAAAAACTGATTCTATGCATATTCTCAAAGGGAACCATGTGTCTATCTCGTTTCCTTTTGCCTGTTTGCCTGAAGGGTATA